TACAAATATAATTTATACTTCAATTTTTGTGAACATAACATGAGAATCGTCACAACAATAACATCACAATATCTCCATTGTTTAAGATCGTGGGAGTTACATTTGATTGCAAGTACTAAATTACAAAACCTAACAATCAATTTATATTCCTATGGTTTTTGTGAATGATCGATCTGGTAATAGTGTAGAGGCAGACATTAATTTGTACGTCCTTTTCACAATGGTCTCACTAATTAACAACAGTAGAGAATGTAGCCAGCAGTTTTGATGTGCACGTATGTCGTTTCCGTTTGTCCCCGATATACTCGTAAGGTGTGCGTGGTGTGGTGTGGCTGAACTATGTCCCTGGCAGAACCAGTCTCTTCACACTCCGCCGCGCTACGCTCAACTATGATCAGCCTCCCGGTGCATAAACCTAACAAAAGGAGTCCATGCACGTTCATGTTATTACTCGCTTTCTAGATCTTGTAGATGCGACACTATGTGTATGCAAAGGAAGTGATTACGCGCGCGCAATTGACTAGTTCAGACAACAGGAAGTACCTACATATTTCACTGCATACTTTATATTGTTGCCGGCTAAAGTTATGAACAGTCCTCACACATTTTTCTATGACACACTTAACAACTGTAAAACGTCTTATATACGTATTAGCTGTGGCCCGCGATTCCGTCCGCGCGGAATAAAAAAACTTAATAAGTAGCCTATATGTTCTTTAATACTATGTTCTATGTCAAATTTCATCAAGATGCGTTTAGTCGGTCTAGAGATACCTTCAAACAAATATCCATCCATCTAAACATTCGCATTTATAATAGTAGTAAGATATATTTAAAAAAAAAATTAGGTACTAAAAGTACATCGTAACAGTGAGTTTGTAGTAATGACGCGGGCCGTAGGTTCGATCCACGGCGACGATTTCATAAGCAGTGAAAAAAAAAATAGTGTTTGTATATAACAGAAGTATAAAATACACATCACTCGTTTGATAAGATACATCAAAACGAAAATAGTTACATAATTCATCAGTTCGTTTCAAATACTGACCTAATTACGTCACGTACACGTAGTTGGTTGTTCTATTTCCAAATCTGGACGGTGCACATGACTCCAAGATAGAAAGATTGATTACTTTATTCATTTCTACTGTACAGTACTACAGTACTACAGGTACAGCTGTAGCTCATAATGTATCGGTATAATAAAAATCCTATCATGATAACGGAAATAATTTCAATCTAATATTTAATGTTTAGGATTAGAATAAAATCCAATATCAAAGTACAGTGAGACAATATAAATTCTATTGATAACGTTAAATTGACTATTATTTTATAAGTATCTGATTTCTAAACAATTTTCTAATAACACAGCAAGATAAAAGAGATGCAAACTAATTTATTATTACAAAGAATTTTATTAAGATGACGGTAACGTTTAACAATATGATGAAAAAACGCCAACAAAACATTTAATTCTAGTGTCATCGTATAAAATAAGAATAACAATAAGCATCACAAAACAAAGCTATTTGCATTCCGTTCCGAGCGTAACCATTTATGATGTACTAGCTAATGCATACCACTTTACTTGTATATATTTTATATGAATTTTCTGTTGCATAATTGTGATGCTCTATTTAGACAATGGAAAATAATTACACGGAAACCATTATGGGTGCTTCTTCGTATTATACTCTGCAAAAATGTTAAGAAAGTGATCGTAATAACAGAGAAAATTTGTAATCTTAATTCAAGGATAAATAACCTCAAATAACTCACTCATTATGAGATTAGTAAATCGTAGACGACTATGCCTAATAACAACTCACTTGTCTATAGTGACCCGTGAAACACGAGGTTGAATACCTTGTTATAAGTAATTGAGTGCGAGTCATCTATTGCAATCATTTTATTAGAGGATACAATGTGAACACACTTCTTGAGTTAAGAGGATCACCTTATCTTTAATATCGTCATAACTACTGTGTGTAGGTAGATTAAATATTGTAGTCTTGTTTAGACACCCGAATTAAAGTAATAAAATATTTTAGCTTAAATCGACTACCAAGTTATTTTCAAATAACTAAGTACTTACTTATGCTGTGGTAAACGACTTCTAAATACAAGTTTAGTTTCGTTTATTTGATTGGCAAAAATGTTTTCGAACAGAAAGGGATCGCGGTGAGCGCGACTACATCGGTTTTGCGACGCTGCCGGAGCAGGTTCACCGTAAGTCCGTGAAGCGAGGCTTCGACTTCACGCTGATGGTGGTCGGCGAGTCCGGTCTCGGCAAGTCCACGCTCATCAATAGCCTCTTCTTGGGCGACCTCTACAGAAATAGAACAATACCCGATGTACACGGTAACTTTTGTTTCTCTTTAACTTAGCCTAAACAAACTCATGTCATCTTCGTCAATTGTAACAGCTAATCCCGATCAAAGCCACTTTTCTTGTACATTAATGGTTGTAACAGATTTGTGTATATCAAAAGAGCGTTGAAATATTTAACATTTTTATTGTTAATACAGATAGATTAGAAAAGACGACAACTATAGAGAAAAAGACGATGGAGATCGAAGAGCGAGGCGTACGACTTCGGTTGACGATAGTGGATACGCCTGGTTTCGGGGACGCCATCAACTGCGAGGACTCGTGGCGGGTCTGCTCCGCATACGTCGACGACCAGTTCCGGCAGTACTTCACCGACGAGAGCGGCCTCAACCGCAGGCACATGCAAGACAACAGAGTGCATTGCTGCCTTTACTTCGTACCGCCATGGGCTCATAGGTACGGTAATTTTACACTTTAAATGTATAAAAAAAGGCTTAGATGTCTTCTAATATGTATTGGAGATTATAAGTATATTTCGGAAGCCCAAAAGTGTATTGGATTTCGGTTTTAATTGGGGATTCTTGTGCTTCATTTCGGAATACAGTGGTTTGCTTCTTGTTTGTATTTAGTCACACCGAGGTCGTCAAATTCGCTATCTATCTTATAGTTATATATTAATGAACACTATCAACATATTTCTATGAGTAAGATTATTCAAAGTTATTTATTCAGTACGCAACCATCTCTTGATATAAAGAATGTGGCGGGTCAAAGTTGATCATGGGTTCTGATAGCCGCGCGCTGTGGACTGTTGCGGAAGCACACGTGCCCGCCTGCCCGCATATAGAGGACAATCATTCTAATGTCATTGACATCAAAAAATATTGAGCTCATTATGATCTTTGTAAATTGTACATAGTAGGTAAAGACTTCCGATTTTTTAATGCATTTGATGCGACGATTACTTTGGGAGGAATATATTCGATGTGAAATGAACAATGTCAATATAAAACAACCATCAATATTTGTGACTATTATTATACTTTTATTTTAGTCGTGCCTATAGATAGCAAGTTTAATTTACTATGACTTTATTAATATTTTGATGAGTGATATTTGCTTTTGCTTTGGTCTTTTAAAATAAAATTCGTACATTCTTTTATTGAAATGCGACTCACTCTATTTACGAAACACTTTAGTACCTACTAAAATATATATTTTGGCCTCAGTTTCTTTAAAGAGAGTGTATTTATATGTATTACAGTTTCGGCAATAGAAACGTAAGGTGATGTCAAAGTGATGTTTATTTATTGCTGTGCATGTATAGAAGAATTTATTCATCCACTAACAGTCCAATAAAACCTCATTGCGCTAATAGTTCCATTTCCAATCACACTCCATGTTACGCCTCATTTGATTGATGGTAATGGTATCGAGCTATCTCACGATCACTTAACGTCTGTAACAATTGAACGAGCGGCATTATAACAGTGTAATTGATACACTTTAAATTGTTTTAATATGGCAGCCTGAGGCAAGTGGACGTGGAGATGATGCGGCGGCTGCACAGGAAGGTGAACATCGTGGTCGTCATCGCCAAGGCAGACTCACTAACTGTCATGGAAGTTAAGAAACTCAAAGCGCGCATACTTCAGGACTTAGAAGATTATCAAATACAAGTATTTAGCCAAATTTGTTAATACTTAGCAGAACAAGTATGACCAAAAGTATTTTTGCGAACATTTCATGATTGATGGCAATCGGACTTATTACGAACAAATTTTGATACTTAGGATGTAAAAATACCTAGAAATGTGCCTCAAAGCAAATGGAAAAAATTGTGTACCCGAACTAATTACTGCGACTTGACTTGATTGTTTATTCTCTTGCTTGCTTCAGGTGTACCAATTCCCCGAGTGTGACAGTGACGAGGACGAGGAATTCAAACAGCAGGACCGTGAGCTAAAAGCGGCGGTGCCTTTCGCCGTGGTCGCTGCAGACACCGTCATGGAGGTCGGCGGTCGGCGCGTGCGCGGCAGACAGTATCCATGGGGCATCGTTGACGGTAAGCACAGTCCTATCTCAAATAATTAATGCCTCTAATAATTGTTAACCTTAATATTCAACAATATAGGCATCCTTCTCACTCTTCTTAAAAATAAGAGATAACTATAACGACATTTGAAATTCACGTTTACCGTGTAAAGAATGTATTGTACGTGTTATAGAATGTTGCATGTGTTATTAAACTCATTGTTATTAAATAATAACGCAGAATGTATAAAAATGTCAATTGTTGCCTCCTTTGCTTACATAAGTACAGATTTGTATAAGAATTTGTATCGTGTCAAGATAAATTCGAATAAACTACTATAAATTTGCTCAAAACACAAAACATAGTCTCTGTTGAATCAAGAATTGCGATAAGTGACGTTAAAACGTTAATATGTAGGTGTGGCACGTTTTGGTTTGAATTACATTCTTATCTTTTGAGTAGATCGCTTTGACTTTGATTTTTTTATTCTTCAACGGAAAATAACATGATCATTAACATTTATTTGCGAATTATTTTTTAAAATACGGATAATAGAAGCTGATACAATTAAAGTTATTCAAATAAAGACGTTATTTTGAAGGCGTGAGTCTTTCTGTTCCGTAAAGTAGCTTAAAATTAAAATAATAGCTTACTGCACTTTAGAGAAAGAGCTAAGAGCTATCTTAGACTATATTTAACTAGAATAAGAAATGGATATAATGTTGTCCCCTTGTTCAGTGGAGAACCCGCGTCACTCGGACTTTACGAAGCTGCGCACGATGCTGATCTCGACGCACATGCAGGACCTGAAGGACGTGACGCAGGACGTGCACTACGAGAACTTCCGAGCGCAATGCATCTCGCAGATATCGCAGCACGCATTGCGAGAACGAGGGTAACCTCATTGCTTGCCTCTTTTGCTTAGCCAAAATATCTTATATTAAGATAATGGATTCTTGAGTTATTTTAAAAAAGATAGTAATGATATTGAATGAAGATGGCTACGGAGATAGTAGAAAACCAAAGAGAGTACGTGTGTATGTGTGAAAGAGGACGTGTGAGTGAGATATGGCGACTGACTGAAAAGTATGCAACAGTAGTAGATAGCAGATAGGTTTTTTCACTTTACGACAATGTTGTTTTTGTTTGCATTTTACAGAAAACTGAAGAGAGATTCCATGGGCAATAACAATGAAGTAGTTTTTACAGACACCGATCGTTTATTACTACAAAAAGATGAAGAGGTAAAAACATTTGATAATTATTAAAATGCCTTGTAAAAATATTTCCGTAGTAAAACCTCATGATAAAACAAACGAATGGAGTGGTACCAATTTAAAGGAGAAGATATGTTTAATAAAAATACTTAAAACTGATATAAATGCATACTTGAATCGTATCTCCCAACATTTTACACGCCAACTAATAAAATAATACTATTTGTATGAGCTGATCGATTATTTTAGCAAATAATTTTAAATGATCTTTTATTGTTGACAGTTGCAAAGTCATGTGGAGGTAACTTTTCCAGTAGATTATGAACAGTTCATAAATTATAGTAACTTAAAAAACTCAATATAACCCTCATAAAGTAGATATTCTACTTCTTGTATCAGCGACGCATGGATTTGTATTTTAAATTGATTTATAGCGTCATAATAGTCATGTGTTTATAAACTGACATTTTTCATGTGGTTAAAACATCCTGCATGACTTCGCTTAGTAATAGAAAAAGTTTTCCTACATATTCATCCATGTATAAATTTTTAATTAAATTACAAATCAATATACGTTATATTCCATTTCATTTGCAGATTCGACGCATGCAGGACATGTTGACTCAAATGCAGGAGAAACTCAAGGCTTCCGATAAAAAGCACGACAGCATTATAGATGTATAAAACATAGACTGCAATATTTAGTTGTAGCGTTATTTATAAACGTATTATAAGGTTCAAACTTTAAGGCAGCTTGTGGTTAGCTGCGAGCAAATATCAGCAGCCGACACTCTCTCAGCACCTAAATTTTTGTCTGTGCGGCGTCTCTTATGAAATTGCGATCCGCCATAAAGTTTGAATAGCACTGTACCTTTTCCCATAGATAGTAGTTAACTATAAACCTCTTGATATTTATGGATTGGATTGATATAGAGAACTTATTGTCAATAACGGGAACGAGGTGTAAATATTAATTAGTTAATAAACTAGTTACCTAGTTATTCTGCTGATTTTAGAACTAAATATATATTCTATTGATATTAATAGTCTAATAAATTAATTATTAGAATTTTATTGTAATTTTTTTCACTATTTAAAGATCTGTTTTAACAGACTTATAAAAAATTTTTAAAACCTTAATATTGTAGTTGAATTACTTTATTATTTGTTTACAATTAAGTTTTTGCCTAGAGTTATTAATAATTCACAAAATAAATGCTAATACTGAAAAAAAAATCACTTTGTTAGCTTGAATAACTTACCCGAGTACCTAAATATTGTAGACGATACATAATGCGGTTGTTATAAATTGATGTGCCAGTTACAAAACAATAGTACGAAAACTTAAAAAGGTAAAACCGACCAGAAAGTGTATACACACTATTTAATATTATGTTTTATTTACCATATCAATTAATTTAGTTAACTGAAGTGTCAACGTAACATAAAGTTAGAGTAGCAGAATTTAAGTAGAATTATTTCGTTATGTGTTTTAATAAGTAGAAATTGTAGTAAACAAATGAAGGTTGAATTTTCAAAAGAAATATTTTTACTCGCCAGATTCCAAATAATGTAACCGATTTGTTACACTCGTATTACGACACTATCGCCATTCTTTTCATTATCTTTAAAAAATCAAAGATAGCAATATTGTTCTTAAGTGTCACGATATTAGAAATTTACCTTAATAGGTAATTCTTATCCTTTATCAACCAAACGTAGCCATACCTTTGCAAATCAACCTCTAGTTAAATTAAAAAAATAATTAAATAAAATTGTCGACATAACTTCATTGAGACCTAAAACCTAGCTCAGTGATTTTAAAGCAGACCTACAAATCCATAATTATTTATGCGATCGAATGTAATAGAATAAAAGATCGACCTAATCGTGTCATCAATATACACAGTGATAAATATTTTTATTAACAACGGTTGTAACAAAGTTTTATTAAGGTTTTTCATTATTTTTGTAAGCGAACTTTAATAGTATGTTTGTAAGCAATGATACTATGTATTTGTAATTAAATTTAATCACTTTACAATTTTCTGTAGCAAAGTATTTTAAACATAACTCATAAATAGACAAATTTATCTATTTCTGTGTATATTAATAGCTAAAAAAAGATTTTGCAGCAAATATGTTTGCTCGTTTATGACAAAAAAGTTAATTTATACCAAAGTTTTATGATGTGATTTTTTGTATCAATATATTATATATAGTAAATTGATACTTTACGTATAGTGGTATTTTATTTAATAAAGATACTTGTTTATTTTTCAATTTGCCGACATATTAATTCCGTAAAAGCCTATTCGTCAAGAAAAAAATCCGCAAACTATCCCATCCTAAATACATATTACATATCATATTATGATGATGATGATATTTAATTTTAATGCCTCGGTCAACAATGTTAAATGGCTACAAATATCTAATACCGGTGTAGCCGAAAATTTTTATTAAATCCCATTTATTAAGTCGCCGACTTATAGAGACATATAGTTCAATCAATCAAGCGACACACATTCAAAAACAAAAAGTTTCCCGCGGTTCTACTTCAAAACCTCCACGACACCTTAGGAAATTGAGCAATGCTTTTTCAGAGGTGTCTTGGTACATGTAAGTTTTTGAACTCCAGCGAAATCATTAACGACTATTGGAAATACTTACAGTCAGTTTTACAATTTTTAACAGTAGAACGGTAAATTCTGGTAGAATTTTTTTTCCAACAATGTTTATTATCATAGACAAATGTCATTTCCACTGCCGTATTTTATTCTGTCAAATTTTTCGAATAGCAAAGCAAAAACCGATTTAGGGTTAACTTTACTTATGATACGTTGTTCATCTTTTATTTTGTATTAAATATATAAAAGTAACAAAATAACATTGCTTGATTTATTATGCGATAGTTGTAATTTTAGGCAACTCGTTATTAACAATGGCTGACAGAGATTTATCCATGGGTCCGCGAGAAGGGATAACATATCCTATAAAGGTGCAGTATTGTGGAAATTGCTCTATGCCAATTGAATATTGTGAATATTATCCAGAATATGACAAATGTAAGCAATGGCTCGAGAAGAATTTACCTACAGAATTCGAAAAAGTGAAAATAGGTAAGTACCCAAAAGATAGGTTATATCTAACAACATTTCCTATATTTATCTTATAATTCTCGTAAATTAACTTTCTATGAAACTTTTCCGCATATATTTTTAAAGATGAGGAAGAAAATGCTGGAGGCGAAGAAGAAAAGAAACGTCAAAAGCGTGGAGGCAAGGGTATGCTTAAATCTAAGAAGAAAGAAGATGTTCCCAAGCTTGTACAGGTTTCCCGAGCGCCGAGAGGAAAGAAAAAGTCTGTCACTGTAGTTTCTGGATTGAGTACATTTGGTAAATTTTGCAAGAAGTTTTTTTTAAAGTTATACATACCTTTCAACTAGATATTTTCATGTATAGACCTTTTTGTCCATACCTTTGTTCATCTTTATGCCTTGACAGTATTAGGTGATATGGTGACATGTCATGTTATGACACATTTCAATTTTACATATAACAATATGTGCATTAAAATAATTAAATCTGTGCTTATTATATTTCAGACATAGACTTGAAAGTTGCTGCAAAGTTTTTTGGTACCAAATTTGCTTGTGGTTCTTCTGTAACTGGTGATGATGAAATTGTTATTCAAGGAGATGTCAAGGATGATTTATTTGATGTTATACCAGAGAAATGGCCTGAGGTAAATGTCCTTTTAAATGTTTTAAGATTGTTGTATAATATACTATTTTGTGTTTGGGGTGTTTCCAGGCGTGAAGTAATTTATTAGTAAAACAGATGTATGGTACTTGCTAATGTTTAACCATGATCCATTAAACTATTTTTTTTTTGTTTCCATGTATTTTATTACAATAAAATTCAATTCAAAAATAAATTGCACACAAGTTTAATGACCATGCTGTAACTTTTCCAGATTGACGAGGATAGCATCGAAGATTTAGGTGATCAGAAGAGATAGTCACAAACTGCTATACTAAAGTGTTATGGCATTGCTTTAATTTCTATTTTACATGCAAAGCTTTTAACTTGCTAGTGACACAGTAATGTGTGACCTCAATCTAAAATAGAAATTGAGCATTGGTGATGTTTTATTTATTTTATGAGCTTCACAATATATGTGATTATTGGAAATTTGTAGTTTTTATTTTAATATTTTCCATTTATATGTCTGAAGCTTTTTAGTTATGACACTGCATTTACGAATATCAGTAAAATAAAGTGATTATACCATTATAAACACATCAAATCAATTTAGTATTTTATTGAAAAATGAGGCTAAAAGGAATTGATTAATGTTTTGACTATGAATATCACAAAATAAAATAAAAACCCTATCCCTATGTCTATAACCTATGTAAGAACAAATTGAAGATCTGTTCTTGGCAACATGTAATCTTATATTGTATGCCCAACAAAATGATGAGCTTAATTAATGAATGAGAAAATTTTTAGGACTGCTGCTCGAAAATATTTTATAAAAAGGGAATCTGAAGGAAAACTTCATTGCAACAATGCCTATTTTTGTGTCGAATTTGAAACTAAATTATTAAATTCGAACCGATAACTTGTACGAAATAAAAAAGAAAACATTGTATAGATTGTCCTTAAAAAAATTGTTTACGCCAATACTTGCCACAATGAATAATGAAAAGTTATTTGGTAGGAACTAAGATAAACTTTAAATGTCTCAAACTTGAGAGTAGACTCTCCAACGTTGACCGAAGCAGAGCAGACCTATGTAGTCATCGGTGTTTAGTAAAATTGGGCTTTACTTTTATAACATCATTCCAAGTTTCATTTCGAACCACGCTTATTCAGTATTGAAGCATACATTTGATCGAAAAGGGAGTAATAAAATTAAAGATACTTTTTAAACATAATATTGTTGCTAATTGGTAGAATTCGTAAAAACTACCGTACCAATGTAATTGTTTTAATGTGGCAATATTGTCATAAAATTATTTTATGGCAATACAGTCTTTACTTCGCAAAATCAAACACAACACAAAATAAAATCACTTTTCTACATTTTGCGTTCATTGTGTGTTGTGTTTTGGCACTGTTACAATGATATATTAGTGCTAGTGAGAACAAAACTATAGATGGAAGCTTGCAGGAAGTGATTATGAGCACAAATCAGAATGTAGCGCTTAGTCAAGTTCCCTAACAGAGTTTTCCAAAATTATAGTATCGATCTTTTTTGTCCTCGAGTACAAGTGTATATAAATAAAAACTGAAAATGTCCGTGGTTAAAGGAAAATTGGTGAAAATGGAAGTTATTCAAGTTGGTGAATATGAATTCACCAAACAAGATATAATTGGGCACGGAGCCTTTGCCATGGTGTACAAAGGAAGGAAGAGAAGGGTACGCATCTATGATTTTATCATTGTTTATTTTCGCTTGCTATTGTTTTTGTTTTTCCTGCTTGTTTGTTTATGTTGTTATTCTAATCGCATTACTATAAAAATGTACTACTCTGCTAAATAATGATTTGGTTGCTCCGGCCGTAGGTGGCATTAAAATGTCACACGATGATGTCTCATCTGACAACGAAAAATTCAAATTGAACAATTTTGCTAAAGTACTAAAAATTCTTTTATCGTTGCGATTTTTTCTTCAAGATGGATGTAGTCTTTATTTGTAGACACTCATTTAACTTTGTACCCGTTTGGTATTTTAACTTTACATGGTATTTTTAACAAGTCTGTGCTTAAGAGATCTCTCAAAATGAATTTTAACCACAATCAATAGTGTTTTAATTGAAAGTAATGTACATAAATTATAGTATTTTTATGTCCATTCTATACTAACTTAATATGGTAAATAAAAATATTCAAATAAAATTTATATAACACAAAATTACATGCTATTACAAGCTGTACATAAACAATCTAGTTTTAATCATTTTACATGAACTCCATATACATCAAATTATCCCCAAGAGTGCTAATACTGCTAATGTATTAGAATTACTTTTTATTATTCTTTTTATTGTTGATAAACTTGTTTCCAGAATTTTAATTACCAATGATATTGTCATTGTCTTGATCAACTGTACTTTTGTGTGATTACAAAAAAAAATGTTCGTATACTTGATACATTCAGATTCAGATCACTTTGGAGTTCATTTACAAATAAAAAATTTGTTTTTATACTGAATATGTTAATTCTTGCACCAAAGAAAAAATATTTATGTCCAAACGATCTATTTCTCTTTTCTGCTTGAGATGATAAGTTTTACAGTAAATATCATGCATAAAACATTGTAAGACTGATTACATGTTGATTGTCAGTGCTTACACCCAAAATGTAAAAATGTAACAACTTCTAAGACTTGTTTTAGAAGTTAATACATTTTAACGGTGATCAGCATGTAGTCATTGTAACTCTCAAACCAAATGAACTTCATATTAAACTTACTTGTGTCAAGGAAATATTAATGTTCTTCTTCTTCGAGTCAGACATCACATACTGGGTGTCAGCTATTGACTATTTGTGATTGTGACATTACATGTGATATGATAGTGAACTCAATTTATACATTAAATTTTATATGTTTAAAACATTGTTACCCATTTAAATATGATGTAGATTTAACATATTTAGTACAACTGAATGCCAAGGAGTGTTCAGTTTCTAGAAAATTGTAGACGAATGGAACATGTTTAGAATAGAACTACTAAGTTTCTGTTTTTTGATAATATCTTACCATTAAATACCAGGTGAAATTATGGTTAAATAGTACCACTTTATTGGAGTACTTATCAGCATGGTATTTTAAGAGATTGATGTACTGTGTGGGTAACATAATATTTTTTACCAATGGTTATACTGAGGGTAAAACTATAGTATTGTTAAAGTGACAAAAACATATACAAAATTTTTGTGTGTGTGGATAACTTGGTGTCATACAACAACGAAAAGTACCAAATTTCCCGCTAAGAACATTGTCATTAAAAATGTATTTTCTATTAAAGAGCATAACAACTAAGTAATACCAGGAAATTAGAACATCCAAAATGAGTAGTTTAACTGGTACTTGTTTAATAAGCCAATCCACTTCATGTTAGCTAAACAGTGCAGTGAGTCAACGCCCCACTTAATGTTTGCCTCCTTTTGGATGTCGACTACAAAAATGAGAAAGAATCATTGAATACACAATGCACGCTTTACCAAGCAGGTCCGACATCCGCACAGCTGTACTTATTCCAGTTCCAAGTTATTTCTGTCAAGTCCATTGACTCGCGATCAATTAAAACATTTTCTTGTACTTAAAAATGTAATTAATGACTGGCGTCCGTTAAATAGTTGATCGACATTTGTGTAGACATGATGTCAGTTAAATGCATTTTCTATGAGAACACGTTTGACTAAATTAATGACAAATATATCGTATGTCATGTTTACGTACCTACCAAAACTATGCAACTGTACAATCTTTTAACCATTCAAACGAAAAAGTTCGTTCACCTAAAGGAGTCGTTATCGTCGAGTCTACTAGGTGCTCATTGTTAAAAAAAAATGTGGTTCATGACAGTCTTTGAAAAATTACGATCAAGATAAAATAATGAAAGTGATGGAGAAAATATAAAACGATAAGTAACACGCACTTGCGCGTTTGAATTAAGTTATGCATAAATTCAAGTACGTACGTCCTTAGGATGATGTCATGCCATGTATAGAACTGTATTAAATATATTCTGAATAAAAATTGTAGATACAATAAAATATTCTTCATACGCGTTGCGAATATACATTCGCTATATACTTTTGCCAAGGTTCAAGCGAATTGCTTTACAACTAGTTGGTGAACCCAGTAGTTGTAACTGACCTCCTTTTACGATAAAGGTGTGGCGCTAGCTCGTAAAGATTAATTAAATCGCCAACAAATTCTGTTTTGATCTTGTATCTAATTTTGTTAATTTCTATCATCTCGTAACTGTTCTTCAGAAAGTTGTTAACTTAATGTTTCTCAGTTTAATCACAAGTTTGGCCTTAAATCAACGGAATCAACAATGAAGGAATTAATTATAATGTTCATCATTGAGTGTAAAGATTCACGTCATTCTACATATTTAAGACAATAAAACATTTCTTGCCTTATTACAAGTACAAAAGCATAAAATGCTTAAAGGGCAAAGTATTTTACGTATCCATCCTGTGCAAAACAATTGACAATCTTTATAGTTGACTGACAATTGAAAACGTGATACCCTAGATCACAAGCTTATTTAATGAACAACCATTATTTATTGGTTTTTATTCAAATGTAAACTGAATCAAGTCGTTGATACGTGATGTACTTAGTTGACAAAGGCGCCTGTAAGTCTAGAATGTGCACCGTGTTCCGGTTGGTGGCGGGTTCGGTTTCAAACCTTTTGTTCCCGCCTCGTGATACAATATATCATAGAACAATATGCGACATGCTTCGCACATCTCAAGGCCAAAAGACATTAATACGCAGTGTCCAATTTTACCTTAAACCTCATTTGCATGTTATCACGTTTATACGCTCGTTATCATTATGTTGTCGCATTTAAATTTATATAAGAGCAGGCATCCATACAAGAATAAGGCTACTGTTACACATCTTTATAAGGCTCATGGAAAAAGCTTGGAAGTTGTGCGTAGTGCAGCTTGGAACATCCTTTGTACAATCTTCAAGTCTTAAATAACATTTTTACTTTTCGAGTATAGTCTCAAATATCGATTAAACTAAGTTAATGTGAAAGTTTTATTGTATGTATTTCAAAAGGTTATCTTAAAATAATCCGAGTCTAGTTAAAGAATACTTTTTAATGCATTATCTATAACGAATTTAAATTGCTATGACTTTATTACAGTAGAAATGAAACAAAAATACTTTTGTATGGAAATTTGTACATCTTTGGATTTAGAACAAAAAATATTTCACAGGAAAGGTCAATATATTTATTACTTGATCTAGTCTAAATGAATGAATTAAATATAAGTACCAGCTGCCTGCAATTAAGTAATATTAATTACACATATAACTAGCGTTTTTAATTTTTTTTTCCATGAAGATTGCGACAATTTATGTTGTTATTATAAACCTTCCTTTTAGGATTAACGTAGGATTACTTTATAAGGCATAGTGGCATTATATTATGCGCATAGTTTAGTACTGGTCTCTTTGTGACCAGATCGGTCTAGAAAAGATAGACCTTTGTTTATGCTTCTCTATTTGCGGTATCTTTTATCTAGTGGTATAAAGAAATACCTTGCATTGTAGTATAATTTTATGAGTAAAAAAGAATTTGTCTCATACCATTAAACGAAACAAATTGGATTTAATAAAAAATAAGATTGTAAAATATTTTAGTTTATTAATTTAAACATGGCACGATAATGCTAAAAGGAAAACTACCTCTAAACGATACAGTAAAAACTTAGTATAGATAAATGATGTGCATATTGAAAGGCTGAAGCAACAGGCATGCAATATGAGGGCGCGTGTTGAAATCGGCCCGATTGGTAGTGCCGATGGCGGCACGAGGCGAATGGCGAACCTGCGGTATGTAGGGCGGGCTAATGTTAGCCCAGCGCCGGCGCACCACCAGGCCCCCGGCACTAAATCAAAGCGAAGCTTCGTATATCCTTTGTGCTACATATTGCACACTGTTAGGTTAAACATAGTCTGTTTGCTATGTAGACAGACAATAAAAGAATGCTTTAGTTGTCACAATTTGAAGGTTTTTATTTGGCATAATGGTAAAGGATATGTAGGTAGTGAAATTTATTTTTAAAATGTCTCTTTTGTGTACTTGTATCTATGAAAGATTGTCGGTTCGTACTTCAAGTTTTCAACAGCCAAACACGATAAAAGATTTTTAGCGATATTTAGTTATCTAAGGGACTCTTAGTTAACAGGGCTATTGATTAATTTCTTTATAAAATAATATTCGGATAAATCTTAAAGATCGGTTATTGGATTCCACGGCAAGTTATAATATGTTTATTTATAATTCTTTATAAAATAATATTCGGATAAATCTTAAAGATCGGTTATTGGATTCCACGGCAAGTTATAATATGTTTATGAAAACATCGAGCTTGCAACGTCAACATGTTATTGAACGATTTGGGAAACATCAGCGTTTGTTTGTTACGTTTCCGTACACTTTGGAAACAATCTCTCATCTTATCCGACAGCATCTTGCATCAAAACACAAATATTCTATTCACGTATTTATTCCCTTTTCTTATTTATTTCATCACAAAGACTAGACCAACAAGCAATTATAACTAAAATATAAATTTTGATTCGCTACAGTTATTTTTTGACAACAGAAAAAACTAAAGCCCCTTCACAAGCCTTATTAGGAAATATTTTATCAAGAACAGTTCAATAATATGTTTATTAAAACCACTTACGGAAAGTTGTAACATGTAAATAACTTAGTTATCTTAAAACACTAATAAGATATCAATACGTACGGTACATTACCGAATCTTTTTACAATAACCAAATGGACAGCAAAGTCTCACATTTTAGTACATTGACTTCTTAGCAAGTTTTTATACTGCTTAACATATAAAAAGTTGTCTTTTTCTTAGTTTCATTTCGTTAAACTTACGTATACATAAGCTGAGTCATTGTAACGCGTCTTCGGATTACAATATGAATGTTCGTGTAATTATAAGAGAGTAGAATTTCTTGTTCATATGAGTCACGTAGTCATTGGGTTTTTATTATATTAACTACAGTTTTTTGTTCGTACTATTTTATTCTTGAATGTTCACAACAGCGGAGTTCTTGATTAATTCCCTTTTAGTGAAATGGTATTTACGGAGGCAATTTATCGAGAAGTTTTAATCACAGACTTATCAAAAATAAAGTTTTTTTATATAAATCCTACCATATAACGTTTGATTTAACGATTAATCTTATCACTTTAATACATAAATGACGCGAGTTTTGTTTACGAAGTACATACGTCTTGCAGAATGACGTAAATTGACGCACGTAGCCACTGGCAATAGGCAACTGGCTACGGTTGCATATGAACTTCGAATTATACTCGCGACAATTGTATTTGTCGCCAAGCTTCGGTAATTAGTTCTGTTTGTCGTCAAATATACCATCATAGAAATAGAGAGCGCTTGTGTTGTCAAATCAAATATAAGATAATATGTATTTAAAAATAAGGAACATAGAAAATGTCAATGAAGATGTTCACCTTTCAAACATAATTACTTGATGTATTCATATAAAACTCATGTAAAACGCAGTACTGGAGTCAGAAAGTGGGTTAATCCGTATATATAAGCATCAAGATATATTTCATACATTGGCGACGACGCGAATGTTATATGCAAAATGCAAATCATGACATATATTGTAGACTGCGTCACGCCATTCACATTCGAATCACGAAAACTGTTGATTTGATCTCTCACACTTAGTTCTCGTACACCTGTAAAAAAATTACATATTTACTAAAAAGGTATTCCAGTCATCTGATACAAATATATAATTTTGATTTTGATGTTATCACACGTATTCTATCGAAAACGTATGAAATGGACGTGATAAGATGGAAAGTTCAACTTATAAGTTTCAGAAAATTACAAAGACTAAAGTTAAAATTTTTAACTTATTTTTTTTTATAATCTAATAATGTAAAGACGTATAGAAAAGTAATTGTATAATTTGTTACGTGTATCATAATTGTTTTTAAGTTAGTGCATTCGTTTTGAAGTGAACTCCGATTTCACTTTAATGCTATCTTGATCTGCAGCTTGCGAAAGTAACCGTAAGTAATCATTCAGTTAATTGCAAAGAAAAACCAACTGTGCGTAGTTTTCCTACTCAGATAGAATTCTAGGAACTTGCTTAGTCTAGAATTGCCCTTCTCTTTGAAACTGCTGTAGCCCGCAACTCCGTTCACGCGGTAATAAAAAAAATATTAGTAGCCTATATTTTCTTTCAGACCGTGTTCTACATCTTTGCCAAATTTCAGCAAGATCCATACATCACAATCACAACAAACACCTTTTCATCCAAACATTCACATTTTAATAATAGTAAAAAGTAAAATTTTTAGTAAATGCTTTTTATATGAATTAGTTATTTAATTATTTCGTTATTGTGTTACCCATTAACAACTTGAACCGCAAGCAGTCTTATGTCATTTGAAATGCAACTTTTATTGTTACACAATTTATTGCAACAATTTCACAGTTGTACTAATTCTGTTATTACGTGTTTCCACCATATTATACGTGTAATAGTTGTTAGAGATTTTTTTTTAAATCTCGTATAAAATTAAAGCAAAGAGTTATATAATGACATTGTAAAAAACCCTTTGCTAAAAACGAATAAAACTTTAACCTATCTTGTATATTATAGTTTAAAATACAATAAGAGACCGGCTAAGAGACGAGAGACCGATCCCTATTATGACGATATTTACATAAATATACTGCTACATAAAAGGCACACTAGCATGTCGTCATGTCTATAATTATGATAAATCTATAATTTAATACAAAGAAATGCAACACGTGCATAGTCGATTAAATGTCACAAATCATTATTCATCACGCACATCCAAAAGACCTCAACTCTACTGTATGCAACTTTTTATTGGACAATCAATATTATTGTTTGTTTTTAATACATAAAGTGTTAAAGATCGCGTGTCCCAGGCGATTAGGAAAATGCTGATCGTATTTTATGCCCTTGGTCCTTCTCTTTTGTTACGTCGTACGGTGACGTCATTCTTAACGCGAGGTGTTCTCCGCATTGCGATTTTGCATTCTGAATTTTTAATATTTACCTGGTTTCCGGAGCTTTATCTTTTAGATATGGATTGTGAAATAATTGGGCACAACTAGGAACATGCCAAAAATTACTTAAACTTCCAGTCCAAAGATGTTAGTAGCAAGTTTTTATCACTGTAAGTTGTCTTTTTTTAAGTAGGTCGCAGCCGTGGTTAGTGTCCTTCATTCTCACGTTAACAATACCCTACGATTTTTAGCTAACGACAATCTCCTTTCCTTGTATGGCGCTTGTTTAAATCTCTTGCAAATTTATTTATATAAACAAAGTTAGAACACGTTTTTTTTAATTTAAAAATTCAAACTTCACATTCATGTTTATTTACATAGTTTAAAAGGTCATATTCTAATAAAGCGCTATGTAAATTTTTGTAAAAATAAACAATAAATACTCAAAGAATTAATGCGATATCTTCATGCAAATAGTTTAAATGCATTGTTTTCATCGTATAGAACCCGTCGCAGTCGGTGGCCGTCAAGGTGGTGACGAAGAAGGGCATACAAAAGGCGTCGGAGATCCTCGTGAAGGAAATCAAGATATTGCGCGAGTTGACGGCGCTGCACCACACCAACCTCGTCGCCATGCACGACTGCATGGACAGCCCTTCATATGTCTACGTCGTTATGGAGGTAAGTTTAACAATATGTCATTTACTAAAGTTCACATTTGTGGTCTGTGTTTAATATCATTTATTGGTATTATTAGCACAACTAGCTGTCGGCCGCGACTCTGTCTGTAGCCTACGTGATCTTTCAGACTATGCTCTATGGCTTTGCCAAATTTCAGCCAGATCCGTTCAGACGTTCTGGAAATATAATACCTTCAAATAAACATCCATCCATCCATTTAAACATTCGCAATTATAAGATTTAGCGTTAAGGAAATACTATTGGATCGCATAACAGGCACTTTTGCTAGCAAAATTAGGCGTGTGGCAGATGGATGACTGCAAGACACCAAAAACGCTATAAAATTTTGTAACGGAACTAATATCGAAATACAAAGGTTATATAGGAAGTATTGTAAATCAAGGACTTTATAGGAATTTTAAATTATTTTGTCACTAATAACATTTTAACAGCAAAAAATAGTACAACTTAAATGATAAAGTTAAAAAAATTATATATTCAGAGATTGACGTCTTCCTGTATTTGGGCTTTGATGTATTTAACACGTGGTCGATACATTCGCAAACATACGTAGTAAGTAAACAAAGAAAAAATATTTTTATAATAACATATAATTTAGCCATCGTATTATCAATATTATGGTAAGTAATATTATTGTATAAATGAAATAAATCAATAAATCGCGATACGCTGAAGTATGGCAATATTAAGAGGAATCGCAACAAAAGAAACTTTACATAAATATAAATACAGTTGTATGAACATCTATTATGTAATATTTTTTTTCTTGACTACTTACTTTTCAATTGCACCTAATGTGTGCTTTCACTAGAAAGTTTTCCTAACATTATAGATCTGAACTTGAAATTGCAGATAAAGTTTACAACTATTGAGTCCGTATTTTTTTTTTCAAAATATAATATTACGCTCATAACATTATAAAACGTGAAAAATCCTAAGCACATATTTAAAAAACAGACGTCCGTCATTTACATAAGATTTGTTCACTAGCGAACTTTGCGGAAGCTTTAGCTCTAATCAATATCCTATATGTCGAGGGTTATTTTAATTCATTGTAATAAGCTTGATTTAGTCAAGAAGGCGATGTTAAATTAGCATACAATGCAAACGTTAGTCGTTGTCGTTTATTTAACTAATTACAAAGGAAATAGCAGAGGTATTGGCGGGCGTCGTTAGCGCGTCCGTAACCTGGTGCCCTTGCACTTAATCCGACAATGATAACCAAATGATTTTATTAGTCCACAAAATAACGCTATATGTTAATTTTGTACATACCTACACAGATAACAATGTGTTTTATATGAATATAAACGACTACCAATAATGAGTCACGATATTTTTAGATTAATTATTGTTTTAGTCGAATAACCAATAGTCTGCAAAGCAAAAGGTTGGACGTTCGATTCCATTATTTGAAAATCAATAAACAAAACACCAGAGTGAGCAAAAAAATATATACAATTTTACAAACTCGCCAATACTGATAATATTTTTACGATTAAAGTTACCTAAAGGTGATCATGAAAATATATGTTGCATCCCTTGGTCATTTACTCATATCTCAATGCTGTCGGAAATATGAAGGAGATACACGATAATATATTTAAAACAAAACTCGTCTCAGGTCATACTGATATATCTATATGTTACTATGCTCGAGATATGGTTGTTGAATAACAGTTTTAATTCACCGAGACTGTACCATATGTGATTTCACACGGAAACAATGCACGGTTCAGCTCTATCGTATATCGCGATGACTTGTTAGAAACCACTGTTGTGTTTTTTTCTTTTATGAGCATACAAGACTCTCTCACGTGTCTCTTAACTTTATAACCGGCGAGCAAATTGCATCGCCGCGAAGCTTGTTATAACAAAAATAGAAGTGTTCTTTGGGCCGCGCCAAACGCTTCCGTGTATAGAACGAGTGTTGTAATCATACACGGCAAGGTCAAAATGAGATCCACGCGGTCCGAATTGACGCTAAATTCAACAAGAAGACTATTCTATTTGCCGACAACAAATGCTACCTCGTATAAATTACACGTTTTTATGTCTTTTTAAAATCCAATTTACATGCATAAAACTAAATTTTATTTCTAAAATAACGTTTGAGATAAATAATAATTCTTCAAGAATCTGTATTTGTAAATCTAAATAAATGTTGCTTTAAATTGTTTAGCACAAGTTAAATACTCAATTACATACTAAATTTGCTAACAATACATTTTTAATTTTATTTAAGTTACAATATGCTCCCATTCCAACAGACGGGACAAAAAGTAAACCATTGAGTTCTATTAAAGGTTGGAGCACGCAGACAGTGCGTGAATGTAGCGAGCTGTGCGTATTATCGAAATAATTCGACGGCCGAGATAAAACCAGCTTTATTCTGTCCGCGTGTTCGTACTGCGTAGTTTGCGAAGTCTAATGTCGTAATAGGTCAATGATATATGCGAAAAACCAGTATCGTAGATAAACGAATAAAGCAACGTGAATCGTTTTATCAGTTAATTCTCGCCTGTCTGCTGTATCGCGCCTGTGTCAACGTTCTGCCCTACTAACCTTTATACGCCGCGCTTCTCGACCGCTAACGATCCCAGATTGTGCTTATTAAATAAATTACAAAATAAACATTCATTCAGATTTAGACATAAACATACATACGAGTTGACAACCTCCTCCTTTTTAATGTCGGTTAAAAGTGTCCTACTAATTGACACTTAAATAATGTTACTAAAGTGTCACTTGACGATAAAGTATCACATGTCTGTGAATATAAAGATACCATGAAAAGGAATATGATAAATCACTTCAAACTTATTTTCCGATGCGGTATCATCAAAGCGTAATTTGCTAGCTTTTACTTGCTAATCTTTTTCTGAATCAATCCTAAGAGCGTTTGATCGATTAAAAAACGTGGCAGTTTCTTACCCTTGTTTTATTGACATTTTTTTTTTAAAAGGTAAGCTCCTTGAACTTTACCTTTTAAAGAGCGATTTACTTTAATGTATTTCGATATAAAAAGTGCATACATTTATTGGATTTCTTTTTAATATTATAGGAATGTTATAATTTATATTAGAAAACAATAGAAGCAATAACTTTCTTTATTTTATATCGTTGCACAAAGGAAAGTAAATCGACTACTTTCGTCTCAGTAGTATTCCAAGAATCATCGCCACGTGGCGTGAAATAAACACGTGTATCGCTCGCTCGTGCAAACTGTCTCATTGTGTATACACTACATGCCTCCGATAATATATAATATACATAAATAAATGTATATATATTTTTGCGCATATGAAAGTTTTGCTTCATATAACACTTAAGGATGTAATGCGCCATAGGTGAGACATAAACAATATATGATAGGTCGAATTACGCAGTTTTTAGTCTGATACGTAATTGTGGCTACTTATTTTAAAAGGTTCTACTGCGTAGTGTGTACCGTCTGCAAATTTATATTTTATACTATTGATGGAAAATAATCTGGATAGGTTTTTTTGTACTGTAAGCAAACTGTGTTCAGTAAATATAATCTGAATGCTTCTCTATTTATTATTTACATAATAAACTGTGTTATTTATTACCTACACGATTAGAAGATTGACTGTCATTAGCTGCGGTCTTATTTCCTGGCAATCATAATGAAATCGTAAATTGGAAATTTTATTGAAGTCATTACTAAACACTATTAAATAATAATATTAACTATATTACAGCAATAATAAACGGGATACATGTTTGGTAACTTATTTCGAAATACCTCTGCGATATTAATTTATGGCTATAGATACTTGAAGTTATTTGCGTTAAAACCAATCTATTCAACACTAAAATATGATTATATAAATATATATAGTAGATAAAGTGTAAAATGTTCGATGATAACATATTAAATAATTCGTATGTCCTTGGAGCTACGTAACATTATTAGTCTGTAATTTATTGATATTTTGATAGAATTTTCGCTTATTTTTAAGCTTAATTTTTCTTACCATTTTACGAGACGAGTCGTATTGTTTGGTATTTGCTCCGATATTTTTATTGTTTTCAAAATGTGTAAACTTTCTTTCCGTAAAAACGTAGCATGAAATTAAGCGATACCGTTAAGGTGATCAGAATTGGAGCGTTGTTAATCATTTTGGTGAAAAAAATTATTAGTAACAAAAACCGTTTGCATATTTGATTGTCGCTACCAAGTAAAGTTGACACAAATTTGCAAGTTTGCATAACCCACTTTCATAGATTAAAGTAAATAGTATGAGATATCAAGACATTGAAATCCTTGTAGCACATTGTTGTTTATTTTTACTACGTACTAGATTCGACTACAAAAGACTAGGTGGGAAAAAAATGGTATGAAGTAGAATAAATACTAAATGTTGCTCCCTACTTTATGTTACAACAGTATTCCAGCTCATCTCTAGTACTATCACGTTGGAATTCATTCATCCAAAAATTTCGTCTCCTATTTGTAAACCTAAACGAATGTTAAACTAGTCATTTACACGTAAGCTCTTTTATTTAATATCTGAACCCCAGCGTGAAGCTTTAACCGTTAAAATAGGTTTGTTGGTAGTTAAAACTTTAGTTACGTAATCCATCTTCTTTTATAGATAATAACCGATTAAACGCGTAAGCAAGTCCGGATCAAATGGTAGTCACATTATTAAATTACATAACGTAATTGAATAAAGTCCCTCGTAACCTAGTGTTGGAACGTGTTCTAGATAAAGTCGGGTTACACGCTCGCATATTCATATATCTGTACTGTATCTGTTTGTATGTAAACAGTATGATATCGAGATAAGGGCGAATCACACGCTCAAACGGAAACAAACTCTGCCACATAAAAGTAATTGAATAACCTACCTAAGCAGTTTTAGGGTATATATTAAACGAATGAATATAAACAAACATTGTATACTTTAATCTTTTATTCGAAGACCACTTCAACGCTGTACAAAAAAATG